AGGGTGACTTTGAAAGACCAGAGAAGAAACCAATTGGTCCAGCAGAAAGACGAACTCCGATAAAGCATGCGGACAACTTGAAGCCGGAAGGTGAATTCGCACGTAAACCTAAGGAAGAAGCTCCAAGAAGAGGAGATAGAGCGGATGTTAAAAGACCTACGGATAATCTTAAGCCTGAAGGAGAGTTTGAGAGACCTGAGAAAGCTCCGATTCGACCGGCGGAGAAACGAGTGCCTATCAAACATCCTGATAATTTACGGCCTGAGGGTGAGTTTGAGAAACGTCCGAAAGAAAAGACACCGATCAAAGGTGAAAGAGCGGATGTTACCAGACCGAAAGATAACTTGCGACCGGAAGGTGAATTTGAGCGACCTCAGAAATCACCGATCGGACCAGCGGAACGACGTACGCCGATTCGGCACGAAGATAACTTACATCCGGAGGGTGAATTCGTTGGTCGACCGAAAGATGATTTTATTCCCAAGCGCGCCGATCGACCAATTCAAAAGAAGCCTAAAGATAATTTGAAGCCTGAAGGAGAATTTGTAGGAAGACCCAAGGATGACTACAAACCGACTAAAGGAGAGAGAACTGAAATCGTGGTGCATCGAGACAATTTGAAGATGGAAGGCGATATAGATGTTTATCGTTCTCGAGATGATTACGTGACCACGTCTAAACGCGAGCGTGTGGATATCGTTCATCACGAGGATAATCTGAAAATTGAGGGCGAATTCGTTGATATTCGTCGCCGAGACGATTATCGAGCTACTCGTGGTGAACGCAGTGACATTATCAGGCGTGAAGACAATCTTTATCCCGAGGGTGATTTTGAACGGCCAGAGAAAGCACCGGTAGGTCCTGCGGAGAGAAGATCTCCCATTAAACATCCTGATAATTTGAAGCCAGAAGGCGACTTCGTACAACGACCGAAGGAAACCGCGCCTATTAAGGGTGACCGAGCAGTCGTCAAGAAACCGAAAGATAACTTGAAGCCCGAAGGTGAATTCGAGAGACCAGCGAAATCACCTATTGGTCCCGGCGAACGACGATCGCCTATCAAGCACCCCGATAATCTTCATCCGGAGGGAGAATTCATAGGTAGACCGAAGAAAGACACGCCACTGAAGGGCGACCGAGCGGATGTGAAGAAACCGAAGGATAATCTTCATCCCGAAGGAGAATTTGCGAAACGTTCTCCGAAGAAAGTGGGACCGGCCGAGCGAAGAACTCCGATCAAGCACGAGGATAACCTACATCCCGAAGGAGATTTTTACATGGTGCCTAAGGATGACTTTACTCCGAAGAGAGGAGATCGATCGCCGGTTAAGAAACCTCAGGACAACCTTCGTCCCGAAGGTAAAATGGAAGTGTCTCCAAAGGACGATTATAAATATGTAAATGGAGAACGCGTAGATGTACGTCGGCACGAGGATCACCTACGCATGGAGGGACAAATGGACATTCACCGTTCGAGAGATGACTATAAGAAAATCACGAGAGTGGAGAAAGTGGATGTTAAGAGACACGAAGATAATCTCAGAATGGAAGGCGAATTTATAGACGTGCGTCGTAAAGATGATTACGTCCACGTGGTTGGTGAACGCGTACCGATTAAAAGGCATCCGGATAATCTACGTCCAGAAGGAGATTTCGACAGACCTCAGAAGACTGTGATCGGTCTCGCGGAGAAAAGATCGCCGATCAAGCACCCGGATAATCTGAAGCCAGAAGGAGATTTCCAACGTAGAACTCCAGAGAAGATTGGTCCCGGTGAACGACGGTCACCGATTCGTCACGCCGATAACTTGAAACCGGAAGGTGACTTTATCGGGCGTCCACGCGATGACTTTACTCCCAAGAGAGCAGAAAGAGCTGAAGTCGTGAAAAGAGAAGACAATCTTAAGATGACGGGCGGTTTCGAGGGCACAACATCTCACAAATCGACCTATACAGTGGTTCGTGGCGAGCGAGCGGACATTAAGTCGCACGAAGATAATTTAAAAATCAGTACTGGCACTATGGAAACAAAAACGACTAGCAGAGATACTTATACACCTTCTAAATATGAGCCTTCTCCCGCTGGCAAACCGGTAAATCGTCGAAGGCATATGGAATCGTCTATCTCGCTCGGTGATGATACCACTATGATGACCACGACGAATCAACGTAACTACAATACTTACACGAGGCGTACAGGAAAGGATGTCGCTGCTAAGATGAGCCAAATGGAATCCGACACTAGAAAAACCATGGAATCGCAAACTTTGGCAGATGGAGCTGTTGTTACGACCGTAAGACGTACAACAGCTTCCGCTCAGTCCGATCAGAGAGCCGCTCAATCTGTCGCTCATCATCAACAAACACAATATGTTACGGACCGTCGTGCCGCCCAACCGAATGATGTTTCGCCATCTGGACTACAACCTGTGGATTCACGAAGAACCACCTCTCAATTAGTCTCTAATCAGCATCATGAACAGAGAACTCATTTGAACGAACAACATTTCCGCTCGCAAAATATGCAGAGTCGTCGAACAATTGAGGATAGATCGTTCACAGAAGGACTCAATCGAGGGCAAATCGTGCGAGGAGAAGATACATCTCGTTACGCGATTGACGCCACACACGGCGATCTCCATAGACAGCAGCAGCAACAGCAACAGCAGCACTACGCTCATCATCAGGAAATGACCAAGCGCGATTACGTGAACGCGCAACATATGGAAAGTCGACAGAGATCTGCGACAAAGCAGCATGAGCAGCACACACTCTCCAGTCAGGCGCGATATAATTCGAACAGTCCGGAATTCCGGCAGTCAATCAACGGACAAAACGTGGAACGATCACAGGTGGACTCAGCCACGAAATTCGGTCATCACCGCAAGAACGTGATATCTTCTTCATCGGCGGATGTCAACAACGCGGTACTTCATCGCCGCGGCGCCGCTTCTTCCACCGAGGCACTTCACACGATCTCGTCGACGGCGGCGGACCAGCGCAAAAGCATTTCAAACCTGGCTGAGAGCGGACAATACATTAGTAATTCGACCCAGAGCAATGACAGACGCAGCTTCACTTCGCTGCATCGAACTTCTAAAGAAGTGAATCCTTGGGCCTCTTCCAGCTACGAACGCCCGCAACGAATCGTTCGGCAGGATAATCTCACCGTCGGCGGCAAGTTCTACTCACAGAGCGAGGCGAAGAACTATGGCAATTTCTCGCAGAGTACTCAGAAAGTAGAAAGGGTTCAGAGGCAATCGAACGCATCTCACATTAATTTGGGCGATGGTAGTACTGTCAGTTCTAGCATGTATAAAAGAGAATACGTTCCTAGGCACGGGGGACCGTGTCCAGCTGCTCTTCTGGAAGCCAAACAGGCGCCTTTCAAACACACCAGAGATACGCAGAAGCACAAGTTTTACATGCCTGTCGTGTCCAACTAAGCTGGCCTATCAAATATGATGTTTTATTCACTCTTTTCAGCAGTTATGCTGAATGATATTGTAGCGTTGAAATCCAAATTTCGCACTGCAAAGTTAATTACAACTATACACGATACATTTATTATCGTGTATAATATCCTGAAAGTTATATATCGACCATTGAGTTAAAATATTTATATAATGATTAATAATAATTAATCATACGTATAATAATTAATTAATATTAATTATTATACGTAATAATTAATTATAATAATTAATATTAATGAATTATTATATGATTATAATCAATTATGATAATAATTCATTATTATAATCAATTATGATAATAATTAATTATAATTAATTTCTTCTACTGCTTATAAATTGTCGTTAAAAGTGTATAACATCGTACGTATCATTGGAATTTTATTTTCTATAGTACTCAAATTCTGTCAAGATTAAACGATTCGAAAAGAATTTTCTCAATAATACTGTGATAATCCCGTGCTGTTAAAAAGTTAATTTGTATCCAGTAAGAAAAGATTATTTTGAATAAAAACAATCGTGTATACTATCGTTTCTAAATTACGATATTAACGGATGAGATTTGATCTATCGTGATACATAAATGTCTTTTGTATAGCAATATTAAATATAAGGTATTAAGATACTTAATATACGCAATTTCTTTTTAGGCTGCAGTCGCAAATGAAAATAATTATATGGTCGATATATAAGTATCGATTACCACTAACTTTTATCTGCTGACGAGCAGATAGCCGCCCATTATATATTTGTTTCTTCTTAAAACACGTGTATACAAAGCAATAACTAGAGCTTAAATTCATGATACGGTCGGATCTAATAAAACATTAGTTTCGTCCGATAATTAGAATAGTAGGTGCATTATGTTATTCTACTTCGCTGACTTTATACCAAGTTTTTATGTAGCAGTCAATTTCTCGCTTATGTTTTATTTAATTTCCTGCTTGTTTTATTGTCGCACTTATTTAGCATCATGTATTTAGTATCATGTTCTAAGAATATATTTTCAACAATTATATCCAATAGAAAGTATTTAATTTCCTTTTCTTTTTCGTTGATTATTAGCCATTATATTTACTAGGTAATTCAAATTCTGGATGCTGGTTTATTTGCTTTATATCGAACATTTATTTTAATCGAATAAAACCGTTTTGTAATTATTTGTTGCTTGAGTTTTATTTACCATTATATTTGTTTTATTAATATAATATGTCACGCGATCGAACACACATGATAGAAAAATATTTGCTATTATAGTATTATTTGTTGCTTGTACAGTACAATGTACATCTGTACATTCGATGTATAGTTGTCACAGAGATTAATTAATTATTAATTTATAGAAGAATTATAAATAAATTAAAAGCGATTAGAAATTAAGATTTTCATCAACCCGGAGAACTAATTCATCAAAAGAGTTTCAGTGTCAATATTAAATAAATTAAGCCGAAGGATCTGCCATTAAAAAATAACGCAATAAGAATGTATATATGTATATTAAGATGACAATCTTTTCATCGGTACTGTTAGCATGGCCATAAGCTGTTCGCAAAAAAATGTGAATGGATCAAGCTTTATCGGCCCCATTGCTGATACGAAAAAAAGATCTCATTTATGTTCCTAATTCTTTCTTAAACTCGGCTGCATAGACAATAACAGCTCTGGTGTGTATACTAGATATTACGCACCTTAGAGGTATGTAAAACTAATGTATATCGAGAGATATAAAAAAAACGTTATTTTTTTACTGTATTTTTACTAGATTGTGAAGTATATATAATATACATATGGCAGTTTCTCTCTTTAAAATATACCTGTATTTCAAGTCAAATCCAGGTCGAGTAAACAAATGCGACCAGACACGAATGGACAACTTGTTGATGCACCGTTCGCATTCATTGAAGCAAGTTGTTCATTTGTTCGCACTCGCTCACTTGATTTGAATCTGGTTTAAAATAATAACTTTTGATCTAACGGATATTTAATGACATAAAATCTATTCTAATTCGAGCAATGCGATTGATATTTATATGTATCGGTCATTATCATTATGTAGATAGACAAGTATGAAAATATACAGGGTGTCCTAAAA